CGTTCTGCACCAGAGGTGAGAGGCATTTCGGGACAGACAATGTCAGTCTCTAACTGAAAGGGTAAATCATTTGCCACTAGAAGAGCGTCACACTCTTCTTTATTGCCAAAGCTTCAATTGCAAGAAAAATCTCCCACTGTGTGGGCTTTGAGGTATTTTTTTATGTCAGATTTTATTTCCCTTTTGCAAGTGCTGCAGGGTTTTTTGCAAATCCCAAAGGTATCTAAGAGCAGATAACTGATTTTTCCCCCTTTATTCCCATAACATGGTTTCATTCTCTAGCATTTGTTTGAGGAAGGGCACTTTATCATTGAAACCATGTTATCTTTGGCATAGTCCTTCTTTAGTTCACAAAGCCACAGTCAAATAGCGGTAGGGTTTATGCTGGAGTAGTTATGTTTCAAAGACGTTTATTGCCTGACAATCCACTGTGTTTTTTGCTGCGCTCTGTGATTGTCCTCACTTCCTATTCAGTTTGGAGCTGTTGGTGTTGAAAGTGTTTGGGCTTATGATAAAGGCATCGATTGAGAGTGATATAGTGCTTACCCACCAATTCTCCCTGACTTTAGAGTGCACTCACTGAATGTTAAAAGCGGTGCAAATGCAGAGCTGAGAGATCAGTCTAAAAAGAAATAAAAAAAAATGCAAGTCACTTCGCTTAGCAGTGAGTAGATCTAGGTTCAGAGAATTGTCACACCGTTACTCTGCTCCTGCACTGTTGCATATTGCTAAAAACATCATGTTTGTTTCACAGGGATTCATTAGATACAGCATTAAAGTTCTACTTCTCAAAACAAGTTTTCATAAAAATGCTCTGGGGAGAAAAGCAGCAGTGTTGTCAGAGGCTTTCTGCTAGCTCCCAGTCAGAGAGTTGATCCCCGACACGTGAATTAATTTGTTTCCTAAAGCTGAATAGTGTTTTTCCACTGTGCTCATGGCAGGGGGGTGACAAGATGACAGGGAAGCAAAGTGTGTGTGTGTGTGTGTGTGTGTGTGTGTGTGTGTGTGTGCCAGGGAAGAGGGTGACAGCGTGTGGTGATATGCCAGTGTAAGACATGAGAAGACCTCCTCTGAATTCTGTCATAACCAATCAGGCATTTCAGGATTTAGAGAATAGAGATTACTGTGTGTGTGTGTGTATTAGTCTGCATGCACGTGTGGAAGAAAGAGAGATGGGCAAAGAAAAGAAGAGAGCACACCCTTGTGTCTGTTTGTTTCCGAGCATGACGTGACTCTCAATCTCTTCTTCTGACTCCTTCTTTCTTCCTTTTCACTCATCGCTGCTTCAAATCCTCATCTTCTTTGTTCCCCTTTTTCTCCTGCCCTCCCTTCTTTTTTCTTCTCTTCTCTCATCTCCTTTCTGTCCACTGTCCCTTTTATCCGCAATTCACCCCTTCCTCTTTTTGCTACTCTCCATGTCTGCTTTTCCCTAAGCTACTTCTGCGTGTTTCCTTCAGCTCCTCTACCTATTCCTCCCCTCTGTTTATCCTCCTTGAATCTTTCTGCCAGTCACTTTTTACTCCTGTTATTCTCTGTCTTCCTCCTCCTCTTTGCTCTCCCTTTACCTTTCTTTCTCTACTTTTGGTTTCTCCTTACTCTTGTTCTTACTCTCCTCTCCTCCCCCTATTTGCTAACTTCTTCCCCATTTATACCACTTCTTCCTCTCCTTTCTTATTTTTTTACTCTTTCCCTCTATAAATTTCCATTTCTTCTTCACCTCTTCCCTCTTCCCCTTTCTTATCCAACCCTCTCCTTTGTTCTCTTCTCTCCCAGTTGCTCCTCCTGTTTTTCCTTCCTACTCTGAATTTCGCTCTTTAATCTCCCCCTCTCTCCATGTCCTCCCAGCGAGTGAAAAATGCATGAAGCCAGCCATAATTGCATAGTGCATTTCCATTGTATCCATATTTACACGCTGCTCAGGGGACCCCGCAGTATTATTGTTATTATACACTCTCATTCTTTTGCTTTTCTGCCCTTGAGGGTCACAAGGTGCCAATGTGCACATGTACATACATACACATGGACACACACGCACAATCTCACAAAAAAACACACATATACCTGTAGAGGTTTGCATGCTTGCACAAATTCCCTTTCCAAAACTTCTTCACACTCTGACATAAAACACACACACACACATATAAAGAGTCCCTGCCCTGGAGCAGAGTTTTCTCATTCCCTCTTATGCTTCCAGACAAATGTGTGAGTTGCTGCTGAGACTCTGGGCAGGTAGTCAGTTTCTCTTCTTATTTTTTCTCAGCTGGGCAGAGAAGGCTGAGACAGGTTAGAGTCCACAGTTTGTATGAATAAAGATAAAATGTAAGAATGTTTTTTTTAAGTTAAGAGCTGAGATTGAAGCTGGTTGCACAAGGTTTTTGTCAAGTTCAATCTTGGCCTAGTTATAATGACAGAGTTTGCTAAATGGTTATTTATGCACCACTAAATTAAAACAGGTTCTCTACACAAACTAGTGAGTTATAGAAATTAGTTGTCACGAATGATTTACACCCACAAACTGCCCGAAGGAACTGTTTAACTGTGTAACTTGATTACAGACAAAGCTAACATTAGCTTGCTACTATGGCACGTTAAGAGTGAAGAGTAAAGTAAGTTAAATGGAATTTGGTTGTCTCTGAAGGTCCTCAGTCATCCAGGCTATAGTTATTTAAGGAAGGTTAAAATAAAGTGCAGCTGGACTTGGTTGAAGATCCTCGAAGTCAATTGGTCCCTCATCCAAGAGACATCTTCAGTTCTGACTGACTAGTAGGGAAACTCAGCTTTTTAACGTCGTTACAACAGTCAGGAGCACTAACAAACCAGCAGTATTGATCTAGACAACAACCCCACAGAGGTTAAATAGATGAGTTTCTGTACCAGTCAGTCAGAACTGAAGAAGTCTCTTGGATGAGGGACCAAATGTCTTCCTTGGATATGGAATTTGGTTGAAACATCTGACATTACAATACATATAATATGATAAAATTCTCTTAATTATAAAGTTTTTTAAACTCACTCTAAAATGCACAAAACAATTCGCTTTGTGTGTATAAGTATTACTTGCATTTAGAAAGGATTGTTTAGAAGGCATTGAAAGGTTTGTCAGCCTCTTAATACAAATTTTTAGATAATGGCTAACTAAACCAACTGATAATGCTTACGTTTGCTTGCTAATATGACATGTTAAGAGTGAAAAATAAAAGAGGTGGCTAACATGCAATATCTGACCTGTCATTTGATAAAATGCTGTTTAATTATGATGTAAGCTTGGAAGGGGTACGGGCAGATGCCAACAACACGACGACATAAGACAGCTAACCAACAAGGAACAAACAGAAACGAGGACAATAAATAGATACAAACAGGATAAAAGCTAGACACGACTAAAGGACACATGTAACTTCAAAATAAAACAGGAAATCAAACCAAACAGGTACGCACTCCACCAGGTGAGCTACCAAGCTATCATTTGGCCTGTTTTCAGAATTTATGTTGCAGCTTGACGTATTTTAGACATTTCATTTAAGGGTGCCGCTTAATTTACAGTAAATCACTGGTTTGAAGGTAGCTAGAAGTTTCTAAGAACTTGGAAAGGCCTTTATTCAGAAACTTAGGGTTACATTTACGAATAGCAGGTGCAACGCAATCTAGCACCAAACGACTGAACGCTGTACCTGCCCTCTTTTTTTGATATGTTTGAACGCTATAATCACAAGAAGTTAAATAAACAGTGTGTCGTGTGAGGGGAGCTGTGAGGTAAGAAGCAAACTTTTTTTTTCAGTGACACCCGTTGTCAAGAGATTGAGTCTTGTTATCTTGATTTGTTTTTCATATGCTGTTTTGTGACTGACTTAAGGAATTCAATCAAGTGTGCTGCTCTGACAGAAATAGTGCATTTTGTCTGATTTAGCACGACAGTGAACTATCCAGCTGCATCAGAAAACAAAATGAAAAGTTTAGACTATTTTAATACTTCTCGAGCTCTCTGCCTGGTTAACGCAGAATTTGTAAAATGGGTCTCTTCAGACTTGCGAAGCTTGAAACTACACCAGTGCACAGCAGAATAGAGGATAAAATTGTAGTGTAGCTGAATGGAGGGGAGGTTTCGCCTGTACGCCATTACGAGTCAGAGAACTTGCCCATTTTCTAGTAATAAGTCTTCTATTAAATTTAAGTAATGTAGCTTGAAGTATTTATTGTACTGTGTCCAGTGGGAGACGATGGGTGAAGTGAAGCTTTAAAATAAGATGCGTCAATGTGTTCACTTAGTATTCTTCACTTGCACAGGTTGCACTTATAAATTTTCACTGCTGCCACTGAGGTAAGGCAAACATGTCAAGAAATATTCCATGGCATTTACACACACACACACACACACACAACCCTAGGCCCTCTGTTTTCCCCGTAACCATTCTCTTTCATTTCACGCACATTGTGCCTTTTATCTCCTCTGTAAGTGACACATGGACATAGTGCGTGCGTGCAAGTACACACACACATACACAAACGAGGAGCATAACAAAACTATAGAAAAACGAGTTCCCTTCTTCTCAACACTTGATTACAAGAATCAATAAGCCTCCTGGAATGGCTTGGATATGCCATTAGGTTTGTTAATGTACTGGTAAACAATGTATTGTGTGGTTTCAGATGCTGGATCACAGCAATTTAACACCCACTTTACTACAACTCCTGAACACAGCCAAATTTATGTGTGTGCTTATGTCTCTCTGGCCATAAGACTATGTCTACCCTGTTGTGTCTTGGCATGTATGAGTTTATGAGCACTTTCCTGTGGCTTCTTTTTGATGAAAGCTGTTTTTCTTTTCTTTTCTGTCTTTTCTATCTTCCTTGTTTTTTAAGCATATTGCATCTGTTTTGATTTGCATAGCTTTATCAAACATGATAATTCTACCTTTTTATATATATATATATATATATATTGTGCTGTTTGACAACACATTGCCAAGCAGTATTTATTGTATTTGTGTGTGTGTGTTCACCTGCTGCATTTAACCATTTTTCTTATTTCTTCTGTCATCTCGCCCAGATGTTGGGGGTTTCTTTGAGGCAGGAACGCTGGTCAAGTACAATTTCATGCCCGAAGCAGTTGCAGGAGCCAGTCGGGACACAAAGATCCTGACGCACCAGCTGACGCCACATGAAGTGAACCTGACAAAGGAGGAAGTGGCCTTTAGTTTCAGCACATCCAATGCTCCAGCTATTCTGATGTATGTCAGCTCCAAGACGCAGGACTATCTGGCTGTGGTTTTAAGGCAAAATGGTAAGATTCACACACGCACGCAATTTGTGGTTGCATACCGCTGAGATGTCTGCGTGGAGAAATGCTTGTTAGCAAGGACTGCCTTTCAAAATGTACCTTGCAGCACAGCTTGGAAAGTTCAATAATCTCAGAAAATCCTCCCCAGCCAGCGGCCACCAACTGAGCGGCTGACAGGCAGCAAAGCACTTTGATAAAATAGAAGTAATAAAAATTTGATAGTGCCATCTAGCGTCTAGCAATCACCAAAATAAAACTACAAAATACTCAGGCTACCAAGGGGTGCCCTGGGACAGTATCTATAATCCCCTGTCAAGCTGTGGGCCCTGTGAGTCATTCGGGGTTTCCCCACTATTTCTCACCCCTGCTTGCACCATCACTTCAGAAAACTACATTCAGTTCAGCTCAGTCAGAATACTTTTAGAGGAAAAATTATTATTATAATAAACAAAATTAATTAAAAAATGGCTAGTCTTAGGTGTCATCAAGTAGTAATACACTAACCACCTATGGACTCATCATTGTTGGGCAGAGATGTGACGTTTCATATAACCAGAACAGGTTTTAAATCCCTGGCCTGTATGTCCTCAGGTTCACTACAAGTGCGGTATGACCTGGGAGGTCTGAAGGAGCCATTTGCTATAGATGTGGACCAGCGTAACCTGGCCAACGGACAGCCACATAGCATTAATATGTCCCGTGTCGACAGAAGCATCACCATCCAGGTACAGACCATTCACGCACACATGTGAACACTCCCAACACAACACAAGAGCCTACTTACCAGCAGGCAAGGAGTGTATTGGATTGTCATCTAGCTACACAAAAAACACACACATTCGGTCACAAGTACACAAGCACACAAGGCCAGCCAGTGTAAGCTCGATTGTTTGTATTAAGTCAGTGTCCTGCAGTGTCCTGTTCTGTCTTCTGCTGTGATGAAACTGCTTGTCCTCTGCCACTGTTAATCCACTTCCAGTGGACAGCCTAAGTATAGCAACAGAGAGAATGCATCGATCGCTGTGTGTTTGTATAAGTGCGCGCTGTTGTGTGATTGTGGCTGCACTGTATGTGACTGCAGGTTTTAATTTAAGGCCATGCATGAGGCAGAGCGAGAGAGACTGTATGTGTGTGTGCTTGTGCATGACAATGTTTTTGCGTATATATATATATATATATATATATATATATCTGTGTGTATGTGTTTCTGTGTTTGCATGTGTGGGTTTGTTTGTGTGCTCTCCAGTTTTGTGCAGCTAAACAGCTTAGTGCAGATCAATACAGCCAAGCATCCGTCAGTAGCTGTCAAGGATAGAGTGGGAATTCAGCTAAACTATTACAGACTGGGCTAAAATGCTCAGCTTTGGCTGCAAGCTGCAATTTAGAGAAACCACCTGTAAAACAAGTTATTGGTTACATCCAGATCGGAATGTATTTGTAGTTGCATCGGCAGTTTATTTATTTGCCAAGAAAGGGATTGTCTTTTTTCTAAAATGAGATCCAAAAGAAATTCTTGAATTGGAGATCTACACAACAGTCTGATCTAAAACACAATGTGTGTGCATCATATAGTGTGACATGCTGATCACTTACACTTCTAAGTGTCAGACATTACAGTGTTAATAGGATTTAAATTTTTTTTGTAGTTGTATTTCTTTTTTTGCCCTCCTTGTACTGTACACCCAGAGAGTAACTCACGCTCATATTCACCTGTGCAGAGCTGACCTACCCCCTAGTGGCCAGAAGGCTGCATTACATTAACCAGAACCACTGACTCACCTCCTCTGTTGCAACATTGCTGAAGCATTGTCTCAACAATTAGATTTTATCAACAGTATCATCTTATTCATATTCATTACTTTCCACCCATGAATCAAAAACTTGATCCAAGTCTGCATCGCCTCTATTGTAGGAATTATTGTCGAGAAAAAGGTATACCGTAACACCATATTTACACACACAAAAAAAAATGATGACTAAACTAGCATGCAAGTATAGCTCCTCACAAATTGCAATCACTTTATTACCATGTTATGATAAATGGAATTTGAATTTGAAGAATTAAATACTGTGTATGAATGTCAACATGTTTGCAGGATGGACACAAAGGAATATTATGAAATATATAAGATGTGCATATAGACATTATAAAAAAGAGAACTTCAGTTAGGTCTTTAATTTGAAAGGATGGGTTTCTTCACTTGCAGTAGTCTGAGGACACATGATGGAAGGTGTAGGACAGGGGTCGGCACATAAGTCTGGCATCGGGCCAAATTTTTTTCAAGCCGTCATATGGCGGGCCATTGATAAAGTCAAATTATTTGAAATCATGTGTGTTCGCTCAGTCGGTACTATGGGAGGTTCCTGTTAAGTAGGTTGAAGGATCAATTCCATTTTACAGCGGATATTTTTTTTCTCCCTTGTTAAACAAATTGAATAAAGGGACACTTTTGCACATACTCACTATAAAGCATGTGCTGCAGTGTGTGCGCGTTCCGGCGTTTGATCCTCATTCATAAACCTATGGACACTTATTTTCATTTCCCTGAGAAAATTCAGGGGAATCCGATCACACGTTTACTGACGGCTTTTTCAGAGGTGTGTCAAGCAAGCCAGAGACTCTTTTGAATATCCTGCAGAACTCTTCAAAGTAAAAGCTCTTAATAAACTCAACATGCTGCAAAAGACGTTCTCGCGCTTTTATTTTAGAGGCACAATCACTTAAGAGGAAGTGATTGTGTGAGTAACTGTTGCTGTTATTTTTTATTTTTCTGCTATCAAAGCAATCTGGCTGTGGGCCAGATATTATTACTGGCGGGCTGGTTCTGGCCCGCGGGCCGCCTATTGCCGACCACTGATGTAGGAAGTACATATATTGCGTACTACGCAGTGAATATGTTATGAGTCATGTTCTTTCTAATTCTGGCTACAGTGGTTAAGATGTCACCCTCACCTGTGATAATCACAGGTCCAAATGAAGCCCCTTCACCATTGCTTTCATTAAGGTGAAATAAAATGTTGACCAGAATGAATCACAGTCCACCTGCCAAACCCTATACTCATCGCATCTCTTCTCCTACGTAAGTCTTGAGCCGCCTCCGTTCTCACATTACATGCTCATGGAACAATGACCCCATCCATCCTGGAATCTCATCACCTACATTCACACACCACAGTGAAAAATTCAGAAAGCAAGAAAATTACACTGAAACATCCAATGGAAATCGTCAGAGCAAATCACGTCCTGCAGCTGCTGATCACCCCGGTGGGAGCACTTGGACATAACACATCCCTTTTTTACTGGCATAGAAGGTGATTGGAGCAACTGTACAATTCTATGCTCATCACATACACACACATACACATGCATGCACGCACTGTGTCTTCTTCCACTGGCTGATCACTTAGCTGTGTCTAGATATCGATGCTCAGCCCAGTGTTCAGTGTGTGGCTGAAATATTATCTACCGAGTGCATATCCCCTGTTTACCACTCTCAGTGTGCCCAGGCTGTACTCTAAATAACAAACCTTTGAATCTTTTTGTCCTTAAATGATAGGTTCGGCACTTAAACATAAAAGACTGTTTCGAGAATTAAAAGGAACACTGGTGGGCATGATGTGGTAATTTGGACTTAAGAAGAAGAAAAAAAAAGAAATCAACAAGGGAACAGTGGGGAAGGGATGGAGAGAGAAAATAGATTAAGTTTATAGATAGGGCATGAAAAGTAGAGCCAGAAGGTGTGCTAACGAAGATAACTTTGATAAGTAAAACTTTTTCATGTTGCCTTACCGCCTCAGGGCTTTTCTCAAGGTACAAACATGCCTTAATATCTACGCGTAAACAGATGTGGACATGCATACAAACTGACATGAATGCGCAAGTGAGATCTTGTCAAGTCTGCTCATTTCACACAGCTACAGCACAAAATCAACATTATTAACGTCTGATGAATCGGTCCATTCCGTTGCTCTCCCCCATCTCTTCACACATCCAACCTTCTCCCTTCTCACAGACTCTCGAGGGCTTTTAGTAGTAGTTAATTTACTTTTTTTTAACATGCACCGGAAAAATATTTTAATTATCAGCGTTTTTCCTAATGCAGATGATCCAGCATTGAAGCAAAGAACTGCAGCTACCGAAACCAAGTTAGAAAAAAATAATTATTGTTTCATTCCATATCCCATCAAGTCTCTTGACACGTTGAAGTTTTTCCACAAGACGCGCAAATTCAACTTAAAGCAGCAATAGCCATTATTTTTACATGAAAAAAGGATCACATGAGTACTTGTGTGTAGAAGGGGTCTTGAAACATGACCCATCCTTCAGCTCATTGTTTTGTGTTTTCCAACCTGCAACTCTACTATTTTCCACCCTCATGGCTCTCATAGTGTTGTTTTCGGCGACAGCTCTAATAAACCCACTTTACACTACCTGCCCAGCATCAAACATAGTGGAGCATTTAGCAGCTAAAGAGCTAAATAGTTATAAGTACTGTATATAAAGACATAGTAAGGATTGTGCATGAGAGGTACGAAACCCTATGGTATGTTGTCCAAGAGTTGTGTGATAATAGGGAAGATGAATCTTCTTTGCTTGTCTGGTTGGATATGAATGCAACATCATAATCATAAAGTTGTGTTAAATTTATGAAAGTATTAAAGTTATGAAATACATTTGATAAGATGTGATTTTAAAACATGCATTTATACATAAAGATACATGTTCAATAGATACTGATGTTGAAAATGATAACAGATTTAACTTCTTGAACAGGGTAGCTGATGGTTTACAGCGATTTGACTCAGTTGCCGATCTGAAACATTTTTGGGGGATTAAAATGTTTCCTTCAGGAGTTGGT